AACTTATGTACTTCCCTGTACCTTTCTCTGTATTCTTTCTCCAAATTAACAATATAATCATCCACACAAATTCACCACATTCAGAACAAAGTGATTACTCATAGTAACTCCCCCATGCCTATCCGATTACCTGGTATATCCAATCAGTGATTAGCAATGCATCTGTCATTAACCTCTCTGTCCCTCTATTACCTGAATTCTAGCCTGCATCATTTTTTTGTTTGCATCATTACAATTACTTTTCTGTCTTTTTCTTTTTTTTTTTTTTTTGGTTGTTGTTGTTGATGATGGTGGTGGTGGTGGTGGTATAACCCCTAAACCTCTCCCCACCCACAGAAGAGAGCATATCTTCCTCACAATGTGAGCAGTTCATTCCCTGTTTCAAAATATCTAATATGACAAGCCCCAAATATGAAAAGGAAAAATAGGGAGTTGAAAACTTTCTAGACAAAGAATAAGGTTTAATTAATAGGAATATTGAGTCATTGACTTTTAGATAGTGATTGTTTTGGAAACTGCCGTAAATCCCTTCTCTGCTGGTAACAAAGGTTTAGGGAAAAGATTGAAGGAGCTAAACAGATCCTGTTTCTGAGCTGAATGGCTTTGCTGCTGACATAATAAATCTGAGTCAAATTTCTAGTAAAAAGGTAGGTTTGTTGGTGTAGTTCTTGGGCAGGCTCACAGAACTCACAGGAGGAGATCAGTGAAGTCTCAAGGCTGGGCTGGGGTAGGGTCTTCTTAAAGGGGAGTGGGTAGGGAACAGCTGTGACGTGTCGGTGAGGTACTAGGGTTATTGCTTTCTTTGGTGAGTTCCAAAAGCACAGTCTCCTGGTCAGAAGAGTAAGGCCAGAGCATCTTGGTCGAGGCCATCTTGCCTTTGTCCCCAAACCTCCAGCCTATCATAAACTACTCAAATTTGTTGGTGCTGCTATGTACTCAATGCTAAATACTGAAGGCTAAAGATGATGCTTCAACAGTTGCTGAAAAACTTCGGTGACTGTCCAGGTAGCAAAATGCATCTGTCATTTTGCTGTTGTTTTGGAAGCTGCTTGATCTGTACTTCCTACAAACTCAGACAATATTTATTCCTTCTAAGGTCTCTGATGGAGTTGAAGACTAAACAGATTAGTCTCACAAGTAAGCTTAAATTGTTTAAAACTTAAAAAAGTGTTTTAAAAAAATTTTAGGTCTAGGTAGAACTTTTAGGTTATTAAGTACTAACTGTAACAAAAATGATTTGGCTACAATACTCAGAACTCACTAAGACAGGAGAGATAGTAAAAGTTCTTTCTCCTAAGTTGCCAAACACAAATGGACTGGACACTGTGAATGTAATTATTATGATAGTTTTAAAAACTGTCTTACATTTGTTCTTACTATACAAAGTTTATTAGTGTAAGAGAAAGAACATTTTCATTTGGACAAAAAGGGGGAGTTGTTGGGGTTGATCTGTTGCTACTATGTATTCAAATTTTAAATACTGGCCCCTAAGATCTTTTTGCACCACACACAAGCACATTATCACACACACCAAGTGATGTTGTATAAATTTTGGTGGCAAATATACTCTGACTAGTTAAAGTTGCTCACAGCCTATAACTGGGCAGAAGAGAAGTAGGCAGAGCTAAAGTTCCAGGTCTTGGGGTTGGAGGGGGACCACTCCAAGGGCAAAGGAGGAGGAGGAAGAGAGAGGAGGAAGAAACTCAGTATTAGACAGGATGGACTAGAAGCACATGGCCTGGAGAAGTTTGCCCCGAGGACAGACTGATGGGAGTAGAAGCTGCCAGGAGTCATCAGATTGGCAAGTGATGGGCTTTTATGTGGGATTTAAAGGTTGTAGGATTAGAATATTTTAAAACTGTTGCAGTATATTTGATCCCATTATAAACCCAGCAATTGTGAGCGATAAAAACCTGTTTCTAATTGTGATATGGCTGTGTTTGATCCTAGAACTTTCAATTTATTGTAAACAGGTGATTAGGGTATGGCTCACCTTCAATCCAAGAGTTTTCTGTAAATCGGATTAAATAAAGTTAACCCTAGGCCAAGAGGCAGAGCAAGAAACCAAAAAACAGGGAGCAAGTAGGAAGGGGTGACCTTGCGTTGAAGGGTATTTAAAACATCATGGAGAAAGAGGAAAGGCTTTTTCCTTCTGGGATGTGACCTAAGTAGAAGCAGCTTTTTCCTTCCAGGGAGTCAGCTCAGTAAGACAGGCAGCTGGGTGCTTTCTCTGCCTCTCTGAGCTAGCAGGTTTTCACCTCAGCATCTGGTTCCTAAGTGTTTATTGGTAAAATCAAATGACTGGTATTTTTTTTGTAACAACACAAAACCTGCCCAGCATAGCGCCTACAGCATAATAATAAAATATAGTATCTGTGTTCTTTACTCAGGAACTGGAGAAAAGGCGGGATAGACATTCCTCAATAGATGTAAGGAGTAAAATAGGGAAAACTAACCTTCCAGAAGTATAATTTCATGATATACAAATTAGGTGATGATCTGAAGATTAAATTGCCCATTTTCCATCTATGTTCTATATAGTCAATCTCTTCAGTGACAGTTTCTCTAAAATTTTACTGTCATTTGCAGTGTAAAGAGGTAAGAGCTCTGATGTTGTCAAACTGTTTCATTACCCATATAACACGCAAATCATTATGTCTGTGAAGATTTACCTGGTTGTATGATCATAAATCACAATAAACAATTGCTTAGAAGACAATAAAGGTTCATAAATTTTACATGTTGTTAATTATCCTATTTAAAGTAGCAGAGCTCTAGGGCTTTACCTTTCTTCTCAGTACTTGTTAGCATCTAACATTATGCTTGCATGTTTTCTTTCTCCACCAGAAAGTGAATGCCTAAAGGCAAGAGTATCACGTTTCTGTTACTAATCATCCCTATTACAGTGTTTGGTTCAAAATGAACATCCAGTAAATATTTAACAGGAAATACAGATAGTATAAGAACTATTAGTCAGTCTTTTCTGCCAAACAGTGTAAAAGTTGTTTGACAAAGAATTCAAAGAACTTTTTATCTGTTCTTCTTGTAAGACTTTTGTGCAAATCTTTTTATCATGTTCCCACCCACATTCCTTGTAAGACTTTTATGCAACTGTTTTAATACTATACCACAACACTATTGGATAAAACTTTTGTTTATGCAAAGACCACAGTATTCTAGAGTTTGTGTGAGTTAAAAGGCTACTACCTTCCTATATTCCTTCATTCCTTTGCACAAATTCATTTAAAACTAGCCAATTGTGAAAGATTGTGAGATGGGACCCCAGTCTGTGGGGAAAAGACACAGTCCTCCCTGATATTAGAATAAAAAACACATGAACTTCCTGTCCTGGTATGTTCCCTATCCTGGTGAAGGTTGTGGCACACTTTTACAAAAACAAATTGACTTGCTGAACTACTTTCACTTTGTTTAGATGGTCCTTCCTGCAACACTGAAAGTGTTCTTGGTTTGATTCCGTCAATAGTTGGTGGTGGTGGTGGTGGTGAGACTCCTTCATGTATATCAAGAAATAGCTCTTGGGCTGGAGGAATGGCTCACAAGTTAAAAGCCAGGCTCAAAATATAAATATAAAAAATATAAACAGGAAGAAAGAAAGAAAGGAAGGAAGAAGGAAGGAAGGAAGGGAGGGAGGGAAAGAGAGAGAGAGAGAAAGAAAGAAAGAAAGAAAGAAAGAAAGAAAGAAAGAAAGAAAGA